AGATTTAAATGCCTTTAAAAATGTCAAAAATATCTAATAATGGGGGAATTTTATTTGCCAAACGGCCAGCTATGTCCCGATTCACAGTAGTAGTCAGATACGTTATTAGGCCTAACAAATTTTATTTGCCAAACGGCCAGCTATGTCCCGATTCACAGTAGTAGTCAGATACGTTATTAGGCCTAACAAAAAAGCAGTGAAGGTGAAAGAATAGCAATGAAAGATAAAAGATATCTTTATGAAGCTGTTCACTAGATAGTTAAATAAAATACATACATTATTCAAATGATGTTTCTTCAGTGTATTTCAATATTTGGACACTCCCTCTAAGCTCTTAAAGGTGTCTCATATGTAAGTATTCACTACATTTGAAGGGAAACACCTGAACTACAAGTACATATAGATTCCTATTCATAAAAATCTATCGCTTTTAAAGACTACAAGTAGATGGGGGACTCACATCTGCCTCAACTACAATGCCTAATTGCATTAACTCCCAAAATTGCCGGCACTTAAATATAAATGTACATACTATATGTACATAAATAATACTATATGCCACCATTGGATGGCATCAAAACTTTTTAACGGATTTCAAAGTCACTTGACCGTAAAGCAATTGAGTTCGGACGCCAAGTGTCGCCGTCGCCGTCGCCGTCGCCGTTGCTGGAAAGTTGGGCGACATGCTAGCTCGAGGCCCAGTCCGAGTCCGAGTCCGAGTGCTGGTGCTGGTGCGAGTCTATATGCTACACCTACTATGATGAATTGATATGAGCGACGAGCGCAAAGCAAATTTTAATGATGACAAAAACAACAATAACAACAACAACAGCCGGTCGCGACTGTGCCACACTTTGGACGGCTTGTACATTACCGTGTGCCGCGATCTGTGAAGGCACATTCCAAAGCACACTTTGGGTTACATTTTCCGTCCCTGCCTCACTCACTCACTCCCTGTGTGTGTGTGTGTGTGTAAAGTACGTTACGTGCTCGTTTTTTTCGTATTCGTATTTAGAAAACTGAAAAATGTGTTAAGGTCGTAATTATATGCAGCGGTGGCTGCTGCCTTTGTAGGCGTAAGTTTTTCCTGCTCTGACCGTCAGGACTTCGGTGCGTCTGCAAGTTTTCCTCTTGCCTTATCTACGAGAATGAAAAGTGCCATATGTTTCCTTGCGTACAAGCGCCTTTATCTACGCCTTGTAGGGGTTGTAAGGCATTCTGATAACGGTCGAGCAAAGAAAGAGAGAGAGAGAGAGAGAGAAATAGGGCTCGAACCATATTTATATGCCTAGGTGCATTGAACTCCAAATATAAAAAGGATAAGAGGCAAATGTGTTGCTCAGCCTTAAGAATGTTAGCCAAGTAAATGAACTTTATTTTATCTGAAATTCTGTAGATTATTAAAACCTTTTATGTGAGGTAATTGAAGATTTTTAAGCAACGCTGTCAACAATTTAAGTGGATCTAAGCTGAAGGCGGTTCTAGGTTGTTTTAGGTTTACTGAAAATGTATTTTTGTTGACAAAGGAAACTTCTATGATACCCTCTTCGTACTTCCATAATATAGTTAGTTAGCTACAACATCCTGAATTATTACTAATATTCCCAATAATGGGCGTAGCCAGGACCTAAAGTCAAGGGGCAAACATTTTTTCTGTTTGATTTTTGCTATCAAATTATTTGCACCACACAAAAAACACATGTAAAATATGGAAAAATAGGGAAAAATGAAATTCAAAATAATGAAAAAGTATTCATCAAAAGGTTTCAAATGCAATAAAATTAAAAAAAAAAACTTACTAAAAAATTAGAAGATTTCTGATCGTGGAACTATTATAAAGTTGGTTCATTGCGACATCGAGAGTGTGAAATTTAACAATTTGAAATTTTGTTTTCATAAATAAATGATCAATTTTTCGCTACGGCCATGTCCCCAATCTCAAATTTAACGATTCAATTCAAGTTCCAATTAAATTTGCCAACTGATAATTTGCCAGCTTAAGTGTATAAAATAGTATCATATATGTACATAAGAACTATTAAAAAAAATCTGAAATAATCTACAACTTAATTTTCTTCATTTGCAGGAGGATCTATGATGGACGACAGAGAAAAATAACGCTTTGTTTGTGGTAAATATATGTACTTTTCTGTCCATTCTACTCCTTCTGGTCCCATAAGGCACACCACAGAACCGATCTGCACGAGCATACCAAGCTCTACAGATACGACCCAGCAAGCACCGACCGACCATAGGGGTGACTGACTGTCCCCGTCTGCCTTCCAAGTACAGTCGTTAGTTCTGCATTCAGCCTGGTGCCGCTGCAGAGGAAAGGACGAGGATACAAACAAGACAAGGCACAGACCCGTACCTATACACACACACATACATCTACATGCATTCGAGTTTATGCATATAGGGTTGGGGTGGCAGCCACACGTCTATTTTGTTGACATTGACTTCGACAACGGGTGGGTTTATTGAGCATTGCATTCCAATGCAATTAAATGCCAGAAGACCAAATTCAGTTAAAATGCAACGATGTCTGGCTTTTAAGGCGCTGCAGGCACACACAGCTATAGGGGAGGATTCTGTTCTTTGGAATTGTGTGTGCCGGGCATATGTGTCTGCTTATTCAAATACTTGTACATGTACTATATACTTATTAGTTAGATAGCGAAGTCATTGAATTGATCAGCAGCCATACGCCCACCAACAGCTTGACGAAAATACCATTCCAAAGTTCTCTTATTGATTATTTCGAGTGCTTATGCATAAACAGTTAATGATAGCTCCAGGCAGATCAACAAACACACACACGACTATGAATATCGACAGACAGTCGAACTCGAATAGAAAAGAAGGAAGAACATTAACTAGAAAAAACTAAAACAATTCACGTACAATTTGATGTTATTATTCACTTACTTATATTTAAAAAAAAAATTCAATTAAGTCCTCAATAACTTATTAATTCGAGGCTTCAAAAACTAAATTTAAAAAAATTGGTTTATTTGCTTATAAAGTGAGTGCACTCGCATTATTCATAAAGTCAAGCCATTTTTGAATATAAAAGAACATTTTCCATAGATCTCTCTTTGAGCTTTTTAAAAGTATTTACAGTACATTTTGAATGTCCAGCCACTATTGTCTTGACTATATAGTACTTATGTTCAGAGATAGGACACGGACTCGCATTTATTTTCTGGCTTATATTCACTTTATTAGTCTAAAAAGCCACACTGAACAAGGATTTAATTATCCTTCGAGTCCAAACAGACCACAATTGTAGTTTTTGTCACTACTTTTATGTTTATGGTTTCCTATAATTGTGAATAAAATATCCATTTATAAAGCAAAAGAAAAACGTCTTCGATTGAGCACGGAAAGAGAGATTCAAATTTTATACAAATAAATTAAAGGTGTTAACCGCAGCAACGGCTTTTAAATTTGCTAATGGGAGAAACATTGATTTTTGTAAGCGAATATCGTTTTAAATAAACAACCAACTCTACAGTTATCTTTATTTTGTTTTTTGCAATGCTCAATATTCGCTCATTTGTAGGTTCGACTGTATTCAGTGCACATATATATTCGTGCTTTTGTGCTCGCCCACAAAGTAAGCCAAAGTTGTTTATCAGACCCCCAAATAAAATGACTTATCTATATTTATTGTACTATACATGTACAATGCACAATGTAGAGCACATACTTACAGCCAGGGCGAAAAGCTGCTGAATATCTCATACACACGCATACTACATACGCAGAAAGTCAGCTAAATAAGTAAGCTAAGGTGGAGAAATTAGATAAAAACCTGTCTCCACAGCTCATTGTATTCGCATCACACAAGGGTTGCTTGGAATAGACAAGCTCGCCGCCTCACGCACATACTGACAGACAGACATATATACAGACAAAGGCTTAGCTTTCGTACAGGTTCAGCTGACAAAGATCAGCACGTTTGAAGCAACCCCCTTCGATACACACACATAAACACACTGCCAACTTCCAACTCCCAATACCCAATTCCCAACCCTGTGCCAGCACCAATCAAGTGAGCACCCACATCCCAGAAAAGAAAAGGTTGCGCCACTTTCACTTTTTCGCATTCAAAACCTAAATTTTAACACAACATTTGGCATTCGTTTTCCTTTTCAGAAAGACTTTTTGAGCGCAAGCAAGGATTATTTGACGAAAAGCATAAAAGACATACAAAACAACAAACGAGAATTAAAAAAAATAAAAAAATAAAAATCCAAAAGCAAGTTTCAATCGAAATTACATTCTTGAAAAAAAAAACACTTTTTGAGAATTATATCAAAGCGAAACGACGACGACAACAACAACAACAACACGAATAAGAACAAAACAAAAACAAACCGAAAACGACAAAACGAAAGAAAAAATCAAATCAAATTTAAATAAAATTAAATGCAAAGGACATTCGCATGTGTGTGGTGGTGGAAAGAAAATTCAAAACAAAATTCACAATTAGAAAACGCAGAAAAAAACGTAGAAAACGTAGACGCAAAATCAAAGCAGGCAACAACAAGAGCTGCAGCAACAACAAAAAACTGTCAACGACAAGAGAAAGAATTTTGAACAACATTTTTGGTGCAAACAAGTTGAGCGAAAGCAAAATTTCAACGTTTGGCCGAGACAGGGATAAAGTAAAAAGCAAAGGCTAGGCAGGCGCAGGCCACAAAGTTTTGAAGCACACACACACATACATTGAGAAGTCGAACACAACTTGCAGAAAGAGAGGTAAACAAGAGAAAAACGGAAAAAGAAACAGAAACCCACTGGATTTGTCAAACAAAACTTAAACTTGAAATTACGCATACGCCGCGTTCACACGCGCAGAGCCCCCCCAGAAAAAAATAAAAAACTAAAAAGATAGCCGGGCGAATATTTGTGCTCTGTCTAAGGAGAGCGACTGAGCAGCCAATAGACACGCAGCAAACAGCAATCATCAAGAAAGTAGGGGAGCTGCGACGCATGTGTGTGTGTGTTGAGCAAAGCAGCAGCAACAACAATAACAGCCATAGGAACAGTGACAAGGCGGCGAATACAAATACAGCTAAAACAAAATTAATTAGAGAGCGAGTGCAACGTGGAGAAGAGAGCGCGCGCTGCTGCTGCTGTTTGGCATCATCTTATGATGTCATCAGAGGAGTACGACGCGCAGTGTTTTGGTTTGTATAGCAATGAGAACGACTTGCTGCTAAAGACAACAACAACTACAACAACAACAACTAAGCAAGAGCAACAACAACCACCGCCTATAAAGAGCGAAATAGCGCTAAACGGTGAGTACGAGGAACAGACACACACACTCTCAAACGGTGGCAGTGAGTGTGCCGCCGACAACAACAACGATAGCAGCAGCGAAGGTAAAGCAGCGTCAGCGACAGCGCAGGAAACGACGACGACGGCGAACTGCGGCGAAATCGGCAAAGGGAACGCCAACGGCAACGGCTGCGAAACGGAGAAACAACGCAGTAATAGCAACAACAACAAAATCAGCGATAACGACGACGCCGCTGCTGACGACGCTGTTGACGACGTCGCTGCTGGTGGTGCTGACGACGACGGCGGAAACAATAACGACGAACTGAGGACGCACGACTACTCGCACGACGACTCCGACGACGACGTTGTAGTCGTGCTCGAAGGCTGCGAAGGCAAAGCAGTGACAACGGCTGCGGCAACAGCTACAGCAACAGCAACAGCAGCACCAACCACCAACAGTAACAGCAGCTCTCTAAGTCGCAGACAGCAGCAACAGCAACGCCGCAACAGTCGCAGTCGGCAACGCCAGCAAGTCAGTCAGTCAACGGCCGTCAGCAAGACAACAACGTGCGCGGCTAAAAGAACTTTACCAGCAATATCGGCAACAAAGTGCGCGACAACACCAGCAGCAACAGTGACGAGCGTAAATCAAACGAAATTAAATCGTAGCACGCGCACGCGATCCTTGAGCGGCAATAGCAATACAAATACCAGTAGCTCGTGTAATACCAGTAATAATAGTAGTGTGAATAGTAGCAACAAAAATAACAACGGCAACAACACTTCCTGTGCGGCAACTGCTGCATTCATGAGTAGCGCAGCTGCGGCTGCTGCGGGTGCCGCTGGAGTTGGAGCGCTTTATGGCGCCTTGAACGCAAATTCAAACTCTAATTTAAATAATTTAACAAGCCAAAGTCAAAGCCAAAATACGAACGCGACTGCAACAAATTGTAGTGTCAGTGTGAACAACAATAATAACAACAACAATAACAGCAGCAACAACAACAACAGTACCAGCAACAGCAACAGTCCAACATCAAGCTCGCCCTCCGCCTCAGCATCCGCCTCGGCCGCCTCCACACTGTTGACAGCCGCTTTTGGCAATTTATTCGGAGCTGCCAACGCTGCGGCTGCTTCGGCCTTCGGCTCCTCGCAATCGGCTAAAATGCTAAATGAGCTATTCGGTCGTCAAATGAAGCAGGCGCAGGATGCCAGCAGCGGTCTGCCCCAGACGCTGGACAATGCCATGTTGGCCGCAGCCATGGAGACGGCCACAAGTGCCGAGCTACTAAGTGCTGCCGGACTCGTCAATAGCCTTAATTCGGGCAAATTGCTGAGCAACAATAACAACAACAATAATAACAACAGTGCTCTGAGCAATGGCAATCAGAATGTGTCGCCAAATTCCACACCCAAAATAGGCAGACGCACCTCGAACTGCAGCGATCGCTCCCTCGATGGAGGTGCCGAAGTGGCCAGTGGCTCGCCACCTCGTGCGGCATCAGTGAGTTCGTTGAATGGCGGCGCCAATGGGAGCACATCGCCCACACAGCAGATGCAGCACGATCTGGTTGCTCACCATATGCTCCGCAATATACTGCAGGGCAAGAAGGAGCTGATGCAATTGGATCAGGAGCTGAGGACAGTCATGCAACAGCAGCAGCAGCAGCAGCAACAGGAGAAGCAGGAGCTGCATAAGCTGAACAACAACAACAGTGTGGCTGCCACAAATAACAACAACAATGTTGCCGACAAGCTCAGCAACAGCAGCAGCAACAGCAACAGGCAAGTGATTAATCTGATCGAGGACACTGAGATGCTGGACATTAAGATTAAAAGTGAGCCACAGAGTGCCACACAGACGGTGCCAGTTCTGCAACACTCGCCACACGGCAGTCACCACAGTAGCAACAGCAATAACAGTCACAGCAACAATAGCAACAACAGCAGCATGCGTCGCAAGTCCTCGGACTCAATGGACAGTGTTGCTGCCTCTAACCACGGGGATGCTCAGCGCCTGGACGGAGATGTGAATGAAGTGGTGGCCACCAAAAAGGAGGCTGTTGACGACATATTGGACGATGTAGAGCTGATGGGCCTCAATTCACGCTCCGATCTCGAATCGCTCGCCTCGCCCAGTCACTCGGACATGTTGTTGCTGGACAACAGCAAGGACGATGTGCTGGATGACGACGACGATGACGATTGTGTCGTCGAAGACAAGCAGCTGGGCGACGGCAGCAACAACGGAGGCTCGCTCAAGAAGCCCGGCATGGATCTAAAACGGGCACGTGTCGAGAATATTGTGAGCAGCATGCGCTGCAGTCCCTCCGCCCAACAGCAGGCCCCACACCTTCAAGTGAATGGCTGCAAGAAGCGCAAGCTCTACCAGCCCCAGCAACACGCTATGGAGCGTTATGTGGCTGCCGCAGCTGGGCTCAACTTCGGCCTGAATCTGCAGAGCATGATGCTGGATCAGGACGACAGCGAATCCAATGAGATGGAGTCGCCCCAAATACAGCAGAAGCGTGTCGAGAAAAACGCGCTCAAGTCCCAGCTTCGCTCCATGCAGGAGCAGTTGGCCGAGATGCAGCAGAAATATGTTCAGCTCTGCACGCGCATGGAACAAGAGTCCGAGTGCCAGGAGCTCGACAACGACAATGCCAGCGACAGTCTGGAGCAGCAGGACGAGGTAGAGCTGTCGCCCTCACCCATAGCCTCTCTGGCTGGTGACAACTCGCTGGGAATTCATGTGGAGACGCCCAAGGAGGCCGTGGAGCGCGCCAGCTCAAGTTCGCCACCCGCTCTCAAGACCAGCAGCACCAAGGTTGCGGCCACCAATGCCATGAGCGCTAGTCTGGACAATGCACCCAATATGCTCACGCAGATGATGAGCAAGATGATGTCCTCGAAGCTGCACAACCCACTGGTGGGTCATCCAAATCTGCCACAGAGCTTCAACGGTCCGTTGCCACCCCTGTTGCAACACATGGGCGACATGTCGCATGCAGCGGCCATGTATCAGCAATTCTTCTTCGAGCAGGAGGCCCGCATGGCCAAGGAAGCCGCCGAGCAGCAACAGCAGCAACAACAGCAGCAGCAGCAACAACAGCAGCAGCAACAACAACAGCAACAGCATCAGCAGCAGCAGCAGTTGCAACAAGAGCAGCAGGAACAGCAGCGTCGATTTGAACAGGAGCAGGAGCAGCGACGGAAAGAAGAGCAACAGCAGCTGCAGCGACAACAGCAACACTTGCAGCAACTGCAACAGCAACAGCAGCAACTTGAGCAACAGCAGCAGCAACAACATGTGCCCCAAGCGCCGCTAAACCAGCCACAGCGTCCACAACTACACCACAATGCGGGACGTCTGCCAACTCGCATGGGCGGCCACACCGCCTTGAAGTCCGAGCTCTCCGAGAAGTTCAATATGCTGCGCAATAGCAACAACAGCTCCATGATGCGCATGTCCGGCACGGATCTCGAGGGTCTTGCCGATGTGCTCAAGTCAGAGATAACCACCTCGCTCTCGGCCCTGGTGGACACAATTGTGACGCGCTTCGTGCATCAGCGACGCCTGTTCAGCAAACAGGCGGATTCGGTTACTGCGGCCGCCGAGCAACTCAACAAGGATCTGCTGCTGGCCTCGCAGATACTCGATCGCAAGTCGCCACGCACAAAGGTCGCGGATCGCAGTCACCATCACCACCATCACCAGCACACCGGTGTCGGTGGCAACAGCAGCAACAGCAGTGGCAACAACAATGCCTCGACAACAAACGGCCCAGTGCCGCAAACACAATCAGGTAATAATGGTTCACTACTACTAGTTAATAGTCAAATGCCCTCCTCCAATAATAACAACAACAACAACAATACTAACAACAATGCAGCAGCGACTGCGCAACAGCAACAGCAACAACAGCAGCAGCAACAGCAACTCCAGCAGCAGGCCCAACAGCAGCAACACCAATTGCAAGGTGCTGTCAATAATGGCACCGTGAATGTGCCACAGCCCCATCCGCTGAATAGCACGCAGGCGGGCATGGCTGCTATGGCTGCGGCCGCGGCTGCTGCCCAGAATTGCCAGCAACTGATTGCTGCACCTCGTCTGAATGGCAATCAGCTGTCGTTCCCCTCTCCGGCGGCCGCTGCAGCCGCTGCCATGGGCTTGCAAATGCACCATGCTGCCGCTGCCGCGGCCATGTCAGCAGCCGCTGCCAATCAGCAGCAGCAACAGGCCGCCCAACAGCAACAACAGCAGCAGCAGCAGCAACAACAACTTGCTGGCAACAACAACAGTGTTGAGGCCGGCAATAACCAAACTAGCAATGCATCCACTAACAGTAGCTTAAGTACACTTAATATACCACCACCTCATATACGTCCCTCGCCCACAGCGGCAGCAATGTTTCAGGCACCGAAGACGCCCCAGGGCATGAACCCCGTGGCAGCCGCTGCTCTCTACAATTCGATGACAGGCGGTGGTCCAAATCCCTTCTGCCTGCCCGATCAGCAGCAGCAGCAGCAACAGGCCGCCCAACAGCAGCAGCAGCAACAGCAGCAGCAACAACAGCAGCAGCAGCAACAGACGCAACAGCAATTAGAACAGAACGAGGCTCTCAGCCTGGTGGTCACACCCAAAAAGAAGCGCCACAAGGTCACCGATACGCGCATCACGCCACGCACTGTCAGTCGCATACTCGCCCAGGATGGTGTGTCGCCGGCTAGTGGACAAGCAGCCGCTGTCGCTGCAGCAGCCGCCGCTGCAGCCGCCCAGCAAGCGGTTGGCAATGCGCCAAATGGCAATAACAACAGCAATAACAACACAACACCCGCGCAAAGTCCGTCACCGCGTGGTCAGGCGCCTGCCTATCACCCGCCTCCACCACCACCACCCATGATGCCGGTATCGTTGCCCACCTCGGTGGCCATACCTAATCCTTCGTTGCATGAATCGCAAGTCTTCTCGCCGTACAGTCCGTTCTTTAATCCGCATGCAGCGCCACCACCACCACCGCATGGACCACCGCACGGCGGTCAGCCAACAGCCGCTCAAATGCACCACATGAAGCTGTCCTCGAGTCCGCCCGGCGGTCTGGGCGCCCTCATGGATTCACGTGATTCGCCGCCACTGCCACATCCGCCTACAATGCTTCATCCCGCACTGCTGGCCGCCGCCCACCACGGCGCCTCGCCTGACTACAACACCTGTCTGCGGGCCGCCATGGATGCTCAGGACCGCCAGTCCGAGTGCAACTCGGCTGAGATGCAGTTCGATGGCATGCAGCCTACTATATCCTTTTTAAAACAACAACTAAAGTGAGTTTCAACACCAAGGGCTAAATGCCTATGCTTCAGATGAAGACACAATTCTTAATCTATTCATAATATAATAATCAAACGATCCAAATGGAATATGTCTTGGTCTGAATTAGGCATTTAAGGTGCGTAGCAGAGCAATGAGTGTGAGTTCAAGGATACTCAGAGCCCTTAACCATAGGAAGATGTTTGGAATCCAATCTTCTTTTGTTGCATTAGCCGTAGACTTCCATTGTATTAATTGAAACCCTTAACCCTAAGCAGCTGTTAATGCTTTGTAGCTTGCCTTGCCTTTCCTCGCTTACAAAACGAAACCAATCAAGTGTCTTCTTCAGTTTTATTTATTTGCCATTTAAACTAAATTCCTTTATAAAATGTAATCAAAACCAAGTTGCCATAGACCGACCCTACCTGTGTGCCCCCGCCTTCAAGCAGCCCCCAAGCACCCCAATTACAGCTCACAAGTTCTTAGTCGATGCCGATGTCGATGTCGTCGTCTCCTCCATAGTCGTCTCTTGAGCTTTTTATTGGTATTCAATGCGGCCAGGCATGGCTTGAGTTGCATTTTCCATTCCATGGCACTGTTCTTTGTTGTTGTTGCCATTTTCCCCTCCTCCTTCTTCGACTTCTTCTGCTTGTTGTGTTGCTGTTGTTTTTGTTGCACAAAAATCAATGTCTGACTATTGGCAGGGCCCCAGTCAACACCCACTCCCATATGGACGACGCCGTCGTCGTCATCGTCTGCTCAAATGCAAACTGCATGCATTCATTCTCTGCATTCTCAATGGTGTTTTCAATCACACAACAACAGCAACAGCAACAACAACAACAACAACATAGCGAGGGACTGTGGAACAAGGCTGACCTTTTCCTAACAAATTAAATGAATCAAGAAAGAAGGACTTTTCTAAGTTCAGAACATCTGGAAAGTCTTTGCTTGCAGCTCTAACTCTTTTCATGCTTTTAGTTTTTCTAAATATTTTTATGAAATTGAAGAATCAAGAATTCGAAATCTCAAGTCCTATAAATTTCCATTTAAAAAACTATAACTATGTTATTTTCCCGTTTTAAATCGGTCCCACATTTCAGTTTCCAATTGTGTTTGAAAATTAGAATTCTATTGTAGGATTCTTTTGATCACCTCTTTGCTCCCTGCCTTTAAAAAACTTGTAACAAAATTAGAGCAAGTCCGCTTTCTAAGACCCCTTTATTTAAGCCCCACATACTTGTAGTCCCCGCTTTTACCCGCAAAATATTTAAACACATTCCATAGTACTCTAGGAGAGAGCAGCTCAGGGCAAGTGGCGCTCGACATCCTTCAAAGCGTTAACAACAGCAGCAACAACAACAACAACAACAGCAACATTATTTCCAATATTAGCATTTATCCTTTCGTCCGTACGTCCTCTTTGCTCCGCTACACACATTCGCATCCTTGCAAACTGAAACTCATTTACAATAAAAAACACACAAATATTATCAACCTTTAGAACAAATTGTGAATCCTTAACTTCTGTGCACTCTTCTACATTGACGCCGATGCATCTGCGCAAGGCCAAGCTGATGTTCTTCTGGGTGCGCTATCCGAGCTCAGCGGTGCTGAAAATGTACTTCCCGGACATCAAGTTCAACAAAAACAACACAGCACAATTGGTGAAATGGTTCTCGAACTTTCGGTAAGTTTGCACAAATCTCTTCACACCTGTACAAAGTTTCACCTGACAAGCTACTTACAAATATATTCAATTCGAGTTTTGTGTTCGAACAGCATTCATTTTTATGATTCATTTCAACTTCAGCAAAGACAAGTAAACTCGATTATGTGAGAAGAAAATATAGGCTATGCTATAATTTATTCCGAGATCATTGTTTGAAATCTATTTATTTATTTATTATTAATTTATTTTTAACATTTGAAGCTTATTTTTAACTCCTTTGATTATTCCAAGGACTTGTATTTATTAACCACCATTAACAACATGTTTGAATTTTGAAACGAATATTATTTTAAAATTATGCATTGTCGAAGAAGAAGAAAGTTCAAGATGAATATTGAATATGCCAGTATTCGAATTATTTGTCTGTTTGAATGAAGCTTAAGTTTGCGAAATCTTGTTGCATAATCGAAATTAGTTGCCTCAGCTACATATTCAGTTACCCGTGTTTATTTATTTTTTATTATAACGTTTCTGTCTCCTCCTAATTGCTCGCCGTGTAGAAGAAGGAGTAGGTGGAGGGGGAGCCCTCTTTTCAATTCACGTTCATATTCTTTTTGACAAGCAGACCCCCATCCACAGACCCATCTACACTGATTGCCAGCAACTGTCGAACCCTTGACTTGCACTCAAGAAATGGCAACAACTGACGCGACTGCCTCTACCTCTGCCTCTGCCACATGCAAAGCGCAATGCTACTCGACATTGCAACACTCGGCTGTCATACATGGCCAAAATAGCTGTCAGTATTCAGTGCATTATACATTCAATATAGATAGCTAGATAGAGCAGTGTCTGGCTCAAAGAAGTTGCCAAAAAAAAAAAACAAGATAGAGGAGAGAAAAGTGCAGCTACAATAACAGCTGTCAAAGCCTAGCGAACGAGCAACTTGCAAGGCTGTGTGCCACGACCTCATCAGAGGAGAGGAGTGTGAGGCAGGCCCGCATGCCAGACTGAATCCTGGCTACATACTCGTATGGCTGGCACTGATTTTGCGCGCCAAAACATAATCGTGAGTTGCGCACATCTGTCCATTGAGGACGCTCAGCCCCGATCCGACCCGTGACACAATAGTTCACCTGGTTCTGGCTTACAACCCTCGGCTTAACAGCTGGCCGATGTCTCTCGCCCAAGACATGCGCTAAAAACGTCTTAAGACGCACACAAACCCTGCTTACACTATTCCTGGGGTTGTGCCTTACCTGCGCAGTCGAGGGGCAAGCAAACCAATTCCTGGCACGTTCGTGGGTTTTCCCGAACGAATTCGCCTTTGTTTGTCGTTTGCCGTTTGTCGGAATTCCATTCTGCACCTTTTGTGTGCAACGACTTCTTAGGGGTTGGCCCGCCTAAGGGGTTGGCCGCTCAACGTCTTGAATGCAGTAGAGACGAGCGAAGAAAAAGCAAACATTCTACTTTGCATGGGAATTTTTTTTTTTTTTGCGTTCGACTTCGACTTTGGCTCTGAGGTTAAAATGGGTGGGAATATTTTTTGATTTCTTTGCACCCCTTTGTTGATAGTTCTTAGGGGAAGAAATAAGTTTTGTAACGGTCGTTCTAAGACGTTTCAGTTTATTTCCTTACATATTGTCTTTGTCATGCAAATTCTGCACAATCTTTAATCGCAGGAATCTAGTGAATACTTTAAAATTAATTTAAGCTCGGCACCCCCCGGCCCAATCCAGTTACACTTCAACTTTACATTATGAGTTTCTCATGAATACACTCACACACACACACTTATTTACAAGGCATTCCACTCACAAGATGCGGCTTTCTAATAAATATATTCGTAACATGTTGCATGTTGGGAGCCACTTAAGAAAATATAAAGCACTCGCACTTATCAGACCCCAGTCGAAGTTGGCCAGAAAATGAAGCCCCTACTAGCGCCCAAGATACTCCCTCGTACATGTAATTACAACAACTGCTCCTACTTGCGCCAGCCACTTCACAACTGAAGTGTGAAAATAGCGAGGAAAGTGGAAAGTGGAAAGCCGGCAACAAGCAGCAAAGATGCAGGCGCCACCAACTAAGAAAATAATGCTCCCGAGTGCATATTAAAATGAAAGGGCGCTGCAGACTTACAGGCGCCATTTATGACCCTCCATATTCACCAGTACAGTCATACCTCCAATTCGCAAACTTGCTTCTGCAACTTTGGGAGCAGGTTAGGCATTACAAAACTAAAAGCATTATTTGTTAACTGAACTGCAAGTAGCGCCTTTTTATTGGGCCTTGGGAAGTTCTGTAGAGGAAATATAAGCAAGTCCTCTAAAACCTGTGTTTCCTTCAATGGCACTTCTTTTAAAGATTAGTTGGAGATTTATCTTAATGCAAGGGTTTAATAGAAAGGAAATCAAAATGTTTAATTCTGATTTAACAACAGCACACACGGGTTCTTATTTAGAATATAAGTGCAAGACTTTAGAAATTGTTCGCTCACTGACGTGAGCTTTGTGGATCGGGCTCATCAAGGGATGACTGTACTTATCCCTTCGTGTGCGGCGACGCGGCTTTCTTGCCACTTCTTTTGTTAGCTAATTAGCAAAAGTTCACTCATATGCTTTGTGTGCATTGGCAAAGAAAAGGGCTTTTGAGCACACACATAGATGGTGCTTGTATAAATGCATTATCTGCAGTTACTTTTTTATTAAAATGCAAATAATGAAAAGAAAGCAGAGCCAAAGGACAGCCCAGTCCCAATCCCAACCAGGCTCGGGTTGAGGCCCAGCCTCAGCCCCAGCCTCAGCCCCAGCCTCAGCCCCAGTTTCCATTCCCCAGTCGCCAGGCTAATTAGTTTGTTTCGCAGGCCAAATACAAAAATGGCAGCCAAGGCAGGCACTCAGTTAGGCGCTTTTCTTTCAGCGCCGCTACTTGAGCGATGGCGTGAAGTGCGCGCTCGACGAGAGCAACAAAAAAATGGCTAATGCTCAAGGATATGTGCGCAGTCCTCTGCCAATGCTTTAGACATGAGACTTCACACACCCATACTCATACACACACACCCACACACACTCATGCCACCTTTAGCTGTGCATTTCGCTGTTGTTTTGTTTTTGTTTCGGACTTTTTCTCCATTTTTTGCTTTTCGTTTTTGAGGTTAAGTGTACTTTTGGCGCTTAGAGCCAGCCCGTGAAAAGATCTTGCGCTCAAAAAAAAAAAAAAGAAAACACAAAAAAATATATCTGGAAAAAAAAATGAAAACGGAACATACGAGTACATACAATACAAACATACGTATATATATAAATGAGAACACAACATTTTTGTATATATACCAATTATGCATACATACATACATATATATATATATATATATTATAAAGTGTTGCCAATTACTTCATTAATGTATGAGGTAGAGATGTCTGCATATGTGTGGGTGAGTATGTGTGAGCTTATTAATAACTGTGTATACTCTCTCTTAATATTCATATGCGTTTTATGAATGGTGATGGCACTTGTGCGAAGGAAAAAGGCGAAGAAGCGACGACTTGACACGCACACACACACACACACACACACACGCACACGCATACCCTACACTTGAAATAACACTGTGGAGAGCCTCTCCACACCTCTCCCACCTCCCTCACACGCACTTCAGCGACGACGCTTGCCTGGCAGGCCAAGTGCGAGTGCCAGTGTGTGTGTTGATGTTGTATGTTCATTAAGTTTAGGTTTTAAGAAGTGACTGCTGACACGCCTACGCCTATGCCCACGTCCACGCCCACGTCCACTCCCACTGCACTCTTAAAAATTGCATACATGTTAATGCCACCCTTTCATGGGCCTACGACTCTGAATGCTCTGAACAACATCTGCGCCGTCGCGTCGTCGTCGTAGCCGTAGTCGTCGTCATCGTCATCGTGGTAAATAGGCTACAAAAATTATATAAACTAATTAGTCAGTTAGCAGTGCCCCGCATTTCCGTCAGCACCATTTTGTTTGCCATAGTGCTGCACATACATACATACATACAACTATATATGTATGTATTCCATTGCTGCATTCAGAATTATTTCACTTTATGTGTGAATACTCGCATATTATCTAAATTAAGTGGCGCACACTTAGCAGCCGAGCATATGGCATTTAGATAAACTTCCTTTTTCCTGGCATTGTACTAAAGTGTTCTCAAACAAAATAATTGCATATGCGCCTCAAGCTCTGCCTGGCTTTTCACACCTTTTTGATGGCACACTGGCGTTTTTGTCTTTTTGTCAGCCACAAAGTGGCTAATTGCATCATACAAAAATGTGAGCCTCTCCATGCCAAAAGCCAGCCCTTTATCCACCCTCACACATGCACACACACTCGCACTCGCACTCACACTCTCATGCACACACATGCAGGCGGTGGCGCCTTCTGTATGCGCGACGCCTAGAAGTAGGCAATGCATTGTTTCAAAGCACTTATCGAGCCGCTTATTGCCCGTGCAAACACAACTAACACACATCTACCACAACTGTTAGAGATGGGCCCCATGCCTTAACCCTTGCCAGCCCGCCAAGCTGCCAAGCTGCCACCATCCAACACAATGGCCAAACTGTCATTTGTATAGAATGCCAGGAAAATTGTGCATGACAATACAAAAAAAAAAATAAAAATAAAAAAAATGGAGGGAAAAAGAAACACAGCAACCAGAAGAACAGAAGCTGTTCAGAAACGCGCCTACAACAATGCATCGCACAACTTACCAACTGTCTTTGGTCATTACATTTCTGGCGCTCGGCGCTCATTACAGCAATAGGCTCATGGCAGACAGTCTGTCTGTCCTGCCAGTTGTGGCTGGCCCGGCCGTCCTGCCTCCGGGGAGGGCTGACAGGGCTGACAGGCAAAGATTTTGCGCTTGCAATTTTTCTATTTGCTTCGCGCTTATTGTTCGGAAAAATCAACATGCGCCAGCACAACACGAGAAATGCATTTGGCCTGCTACTGGGAAATCTTGAAATTAGCGCGATTATCGGAGCGTAGTGAAGTGTGAGGGGAGGCGTCGCTTGTTTGAAGAGGCGACAAAGTCTGCAGCAGCAGCACCAGCAGCAGCAAAAGACAACAATTAGTGAGGCACAAGCACACACCAACACAGATACAGATATACAGATATGTAAAGACAATGTGCCGCCAGCATTAGAGAAAGACAAGCAATCGCACATATACATATACAACATTTATATATGTGTACATACGTAGAGATAGAGCATCCCCCAATGCCACTTCCACGCAAATCACTTGACTAAACAAGGCAACTGCACTTGCTAATTAAATCCCCAACCACCAGTCAGCTCTGCAGCTGAAGCTATAGAGTTGCGAGCCAATGGAACCGCAAGAACAGAAGACGCTGCGCTGACTTGCAATTGTTATAAATATTAGCTGCATAGAATAAGGCCCAAGCAAACGGCGAGCAAAGTCCCCAAGCTGTTGCTGCACATTTGAGATTTATTAAAAATTCTTTATTACAAAGAAGCACCCACACACAGAGACACACACATACACACAGACACACACACACAGGCACACTCACATGTAGGGCAACACAAAAGACTGCATGCTGCACTGGTTCGGTGTTGAGCTGCAAATTATTAATAATGTCATATTAAAACGCCAATCCAATATAATGCATTAAGTCCATATAGGCGGCGGAGGCGGCGTTCACAGACACAAAAGATTATAGCATAGCATAAGGCGGGCGGACCCTTCAAGTATGCTACGATTATATAGAATTCTTTTCTGGTATGAGAACTTACTTAAATGAGTGCAAATGAGCTTCTGTAATTCTACTTCTTTGACAAACCCCTTCTTTTGCATGTTGGACAACCAGTCTTGATTTCCATTTTATTTCTAACTAATTTATGTATTTTGTGTTTACGACTCCTCATTTGTTATTATTATGTATAGTATTTGTTTTTATTTCGTATTAAACTTTTCATTTAATTACGTAAATTTCAATGCTGAACAACAAAAAGGTGAACTACATTTAAACAACAAAAAAAAAAAAACTAAAACAAAAACAAACCAAGCCTAGCATTAGCAATACTGACCAATCCAAACATATTCCTCATCTACGCATCTGCAGAGAATTCTACTACATACAAATGGAGAAATATGCACGACAAGCTGTCACTGAAGGCATCAAGACACCCGATGATCTGTTGATTGCTGGAGATAGTGAATTATATCGCGTGCTCAATTTGCACTACAATCGCAATAATCACATTGAGGTATGCAAAACCTATTTATAACAACAACAACAACTACAAAAACTATCAAGTGTGCGTGTTTGTGCGTGCGTAGAGAGCGCTGGGCTACCAGAAACACTCTCTAAACACACACAGACACACACACACACACAAACCCTACACCAACACTTGCAAACACTCACACACACACACACTCGCATAGTGTACCTTGCTAATAATCTCCTCTATATATATATATACACACACGATCGTGCCGATCCCCCACACAGGTGCCCCAAAATTTCCGCTTTGTGGTCGAACAGACATTGCGTGAATTTTTCCGTGCAATACAGGGTGGCAAAGACACCGAGCAATCATGGAAGAAATCCATATACAAAATTATCTCACGCATGGACGATCCCGTGCCCGAATACTTCAAGTCGCCGAATTTTTTAGAGCAGCTGGAATAAGTGGAGGAGTTGGCTTTGCCAACAATGCCACCGCCAACTATCACGACGACGAACACCTCCAGCTCCGTCTCGAACATGAACAAGCGAAAAGTCAAATTAAAAAAGTAAACTTACGTAAGAAATCGCACTGGATATGACGAAACAACAAACACACTAATACACCAATACACTAACACACCAACACACACACACAACAACAAGTATTTATCTACTAAAACAAATTGAAATTGAGAAATCCGAGGTATTTGTAAATGAAGAAAAGTTCATATACAAGTATAAATGCGTTTAGGCCTTTTATCGAATGCGCCGACAAAGCCGTAAAATATTTTTTCAAAAATTTCGCTCCCAAGTAGCAACAACAACAAAACACATAGAATACACACACACATACACACACACATCCCTACTCATACATATAACAACAAACTCAGCCAAGAGCAAAATGTTGTACCAAATGAATAGAAAACCCAATAAATAGTGCAAATTTTTAAAAGAAAGTCAGACCTGAGCCACGCAAAAGAAATATTCTAAAGAGAAAACAATACATGAATAAACATATAAACATATTTTTAAACAGCAGTGTAAACTGTACTTACCGTTGGTTTGTTAGTTGAAATTTTTTTGAAAATATTTTTTACAAATAGTTGAAACCTCTAAGAATACATTTAACAAGAGTTGACACACACACACACACACACTCTCTTATCAACACACACACACACACACACACACACATACACATACACATACTTATAACGGTACAGCTTAGAGCGCTTTGTTCCAAAGTGCGTTTTATTTCCAAAACATTTAAAAGTGCTGGTCAGCGAAAAGTGTTGTTCACTTTTGGCTAACAATCAACTTTTAAACGACGACAACCACAATTAAGATAACAATTCCGCATTTGGCGCAACTGTTGCGCAAGCTTTGCAAAAGTATTGCGCAACCTTGGCGCGCGAATCGAAGAGCTGCGACGCATTTCAAATTTTAAAATTAAGCATATATTTGATGTCTATTTAAAAGAAAAAACAAAAACAAAAAACAAAACTATTAAGCAAACGAAAAAAAGGAATTCATTTTAGTGTTAACAAAAAACAAAAATCGAGAAGGAAAGTTAAGCGAAGAATTTTTATTAGCAGCGGGCGTTAGGGGCGTGCACTGCGCAATCAATATTTCCCTAGAAACAAATTTATTTTATACTTTATACCAAAGTTTAATGTTAACGTGTCAATTTTGCTTACATTTTAAATTGATTTTGTAATAATTTCAATAATATTTTGCACCTAATTGTGCACGCGCTTCTTATGCATTACATTATATTATACTATATTATATATATTTTTGATCAAAAATCACAACTACACACAAACAAACACACACACACTAGTCTGTTATACATTGCGCATTATGTTTTAATATATTTTTCTCTCTTATGTGTAAATATATGTTTAAATAAATTTAGTTTACCTTTTAGTTTTTAGCCAAGCGAAGAACAAACAACAAACAACCAAGTGTAACAATTCTAAGTTAATATTTAGTTTAATTTTATTAGTAACTTGGCCTTAAGTTATGAAACGAGCGCCGATTTTGGCGTTGCATTCAAATATATACACACAAGAAAATCACACAAAAATTATGCGTTTCTTTTATTTCATTTATTTTCGCCTTTCACAATCAATGCAAAGGTTTCTCTGTATAGAGTAAATCATAAGTCCAAGACATTTGTATTGCTTCAGCTTTTCAGAAAGACTTTCAATAATTGAACAACTTTTAAGTACCTGGTACAAATTTCCACAAAACAAATATATCTTCAATATTGGAAGGACAACTCAATAAAACAGTTTATCTTGAAATTAGTGCTGGAAAACGATGCACTACTTCGGATTTTTTAAATTAAATTGCTTTCAAGTGAATGCTGAAGAAGAAATTTCATTTCGATTGTATTTGAAATTGATTTTAGTTATATTACAAATTTGATTTCATCTTCTGGTAGGTGCGACTGTTTTGACCCTGAACTAACACTTTCATTATCATACTTAGCAACAACAACGAACTATGGAAAGTGGGCGGGTTAAGAGGGATATGTTTGCCTGAGCTCTCTGGGGCGCGGGCAAACCTGTGCTGTAATTTACTTTAATACCCAAAAGTAAATTACAAATAGCACAGCAACAACATCACATCAACAGCATTAAAACAACTAAAACAACAACAATCATCAAAAGCATAAAGCCCAAAACAGAAATTAAAAAGCTCAAATTCTTTGGAGAGTACTAAAAAGTAAATGAAAAAGAACCAAAATATTCCTCAAACGTTGCGGCAACAATTTTGAAACCTGTCCAAAAAGCAAACACCGGCTGTGTTCCAAACAATGTTTAGCAAGTTCAGGCCATAGGTGTTCAAAAAAATTCCATCAAAATCAATCCACAAAAAGGGTCTTAGGCACTTCAACAAAAATAAATTTTGTGGTCAGTGACAACTTTTCAAAAACGAATAATGCTACGAACTATCACTTTTTCGAAGGAAAATTTGTTCATTGAATATTTTGAAAATCTCATCTGGTAAATATTTAAAACTTTGTCGAAAAGCTAGCTACAAATCTGTAATTGTGATTGACGGAACACAGTCGAAAAAAATGCAATTTTTAGGCACATCATTTTTGCGTTCAGCGGTCAAAACACAATCGCCCCCTCTAAGCCCCTCTAAGCGCTTCTAACGCCCCCGCTGCACCCCCCTTTGGCATTAGATTAGAGTCAAAACACCGAAATACACAAACGAGTACACGCAAACATTTTGGCCCAACGCGAACTACAAAATTGTATAACAATAGTCAAATTTTAGCTAAAACAAAATTATAAACAAACAAACCTTTAGGCTTAACTACATTTTGTCAATGATGTGAGCAACAGATTGACAAAATGGATGAAAAATTTTATGCAATTTGGTGGAACTATGACAAAATTAAACAAAGTAAACGGTGAGTTTCCTAATCTAACAACTAAAAACACAAACAATTAAAAACTAAAATGCATTTTCTTATAATAATAAGAACCTAAAATTGATATTTGGTAATTAATTTTTGCGCGATTTGAGCGCAAATGCATAAATAATTCTATAATGCGTACAAAAACAAAAAACATTTTTGTTTGCCTGTTTTACTTTAGAGTACTTATTAAATTATGATTTCAAAATTATTTTTTTAGTTTCTCACACGCTCAGCAACAGAAATTGAAAATTGAAATTTGAAAATCGAAATCCCAAATTCGTTGATTGTTAATGCCTTTACAAAATTTATTGAGAACGTTTGGCAAATAAAGTTGATGGAAAAAGCAACTACTAAAAATTATTTAAATACAATTGTAACTGATTTTGTGATAGAAAAATAAAAATGAAAACAAAAACAACTACGGCGCAAATTTGTTTCGGAAAATCTCAATATGGAAGCGCCTCATTGGCAGCCATACGAAATTATTTATTGTAAAAATAGTTAATTGAAACGAAACAAAATGCAAGTCGAAGCGAAATTGAGAATTGAAACTAAAACAAAAACAAAAACCCTTTAGGCAATTTAAGGCTTATTAACAATAAACAAATTCAACAAATGTTTGGCTATACAAAGACAAAAAAAATGAAAATGAAAAATTACCAAAAAAAAAAAAAAAAAAAACTTTAGGCAAAATTTTATAATTAAGCAAGTCGAAAATGACATTCAAAATTTTTATATAGAAAAAGTGCAAACGAAATTAAAACTCGCCAACAACAATGTACCGTCGAAATTAAAAATGTTGCGTTCATTCAGTTCAGTTTATCGTTTCAAATTTTTGCTTTCAATTGAAATTTTCAAGGAACTGTAATGGAAATGAAACCACAACAACTTTACATGCGTACCAAAACGTACTACATACATACTATACTTACAAATACATGCAAACATACTAACATACATACATACGACTACATATACATTAATACTATAAAGCGACATATTTCATACATTTATACTACTTACATGCATAAAATTATACATTAAGTCAACCAAAGGAGAAAAACAAATACAAAAACAAAACAAAAACAAAAAGAAGAGGAAACAAAAGACATATGAATAATTGGTTAATAAAACAAAAATTCATGAAAAACAAAAACAAACCACGACGCTTGCTTTTTACTTTACGAAATTGCTTGTATGAGCCTCCCAACACCACAACTCCCGAGCCCACTCTTTCGATAAATGCAGCGCATCCTGTGTGTTTCTTTTTTGTCTCCACACCCGACACTCACCCTCACCCACCAACACCCACTTTTGGCATTTTTAACACAGCAAAATTATCACAAATGGAATTGGCCCTCGACACTACAAAACTACAACACTATTTAGAGCTTATCAACACTTATCAACAACAACAACAACAACTTACTCAAGCTAACGGTAAGCAAATATTTTTCAAATTTTTAATCAACACTACAAATTGAAGATCGCCGCATTATTGCGCACATGCAGCACACTTTAAGCAAACTCAACCTTTGGCAGCTACTTTGGATATGCTAAAAAGAGCATTTTGTTTTCTCACACTACCCTTTGGTGTTGGTAAATTTCAAATCGAAACCAGAACTTGCAGCAAACTAGGTCTCGCATCGGGAAATCATTGCAAATGCAAACCTGCCATAGCCTAATTAATATTTAAACACTAGATTTCACTTCTGCTGCATTGCGCAACACTGCGAAGTACAGTTTACACTTGAAAGGAGGTAGGCCAGATCAGCAAGTCCTGTTACCACTAAGTTAATTATCCACGATAGAACAATGCGAAACAATACGATACAAATAAGTAATTCTTAGTGCAATTCATGAAAGGCAGCATAATCTAGCTCGGTGGGATCAGGACCCTAGCAAATGCGACATTTCAAGACATCCAGCTAGCAAGAGACAGACAGACAGCAGCAAACAAAATGACAGAACCTTACCGCTCAGTGTGGCAAAACACGCAGAGCGGCAGCAACTAATACAGTGTTGTCCAACACAGGAACACACAAACAGCAACCGAACAAACCAAAGCAGCAAAAAGCAAATAAGTACGAGTATATACAGTATAGAACAGTGGCAGAGCTGCAGCAGCAAATCGATTTCATTTACTGAACAACCACACAGCAAGCACAGCAAATTAAACTTAAAGCATAATGATAACTTACCCAAAAACCAAATGCAATATAAAAACAACGCAAATATATACGAAAAACAAAAGAAAAAACCAAACAATATAAATGCAGCCATATGCAATTTTAACTAGATTTTAATGACATTATTACCGCAAAATACCGCAAATACAATTGAAATTGGTCAAATTTGTACATAAAAGCAAACATTTAAATACAACTAATTAAATATTTATACAGTTAAGCATAAACAAAACAAATCGAAACCAAAAACAAAAACAAATAGCTAACTACACAAACATTGCAGCGAGGGCCGATGCAATGCGGATTCAAAGCTTTATTGCATTCAAAATGCGCGCAAATGTCTCAAAGTTATAAACAAATGTGCCAACAACAGCAACAGCATCAGCAACAGCAACAACAATTAAGTATTTAAATCGTATATACCAAATATATCAACAATGAACAGCTCCAATATACATATACTTGTAGACAGGTTCAGAGTCGAAATCTCTGCGAGCTGCTCCTTTTGAAAAAATTCTAATCCTATTAAAAATATACTTATGTAAGTTAATTAAACATCCTTGGTTATAAAAACGTCTGATCACAAAAACAACAAACGAAAAAAGAAAAACAATTTTTCAAATCATCTAAAACAAAACACAAATTTGCAGTTTTGGTAGAAAATAAAAAAGGAAAAACAAATACACCCGAAAAAAAACAAGAAGAAGAAGAAGAAAAAACGAAAGAACAAAGTACTTACAATGATTGCGTTTTTTTAGTAGCAAACGCGATTCACAAAATTCTCAACAGATTTCGGCCGCAATTAGCAAACAAAATTCGAAAAGATTAAGCAAA